CTCTCTCTCTCTCTCTCTCTTACTCGATGAACAAGGTAATGCTCAAATTATGTGCTCGATTAGAGACCTACACAAAAAATATCCAAAATAAGCATTTTATATCATTCACTCGATTAGCCGATAAACACATCTCGATATACATATAAAAAGCTACATAAAAATAAACTCCCATTTAATATAAAATATCAGTCAATTTTGGTTAACAATAATAACAAAGAGAAAGTCAAATAATAAAATAAATACACAATAATAAAAATAATGATAAAATTGAATCCACATTTCAATTTCAAAGCTCTATAGTTAATAGTCTCGGGAAATGAAAACTCAAATCTATTGTAAATAATAAATTGTTTTACTTATGGCTGGATTTGCCTTCCTATAAAACTAATATGTAATCCATTTGAGAAATACCAAGAATGTAAAAACAACTCATTATAATGTATAAGTAATCCTAATAGTGCACTAAATGCTGAATATAATTACGAATCCCGGCAAAAATCAATGCATAATTAGTTGTTTATATTTTCTATAATGTATTTCTATAAGAGTTACGATAATAATAATTATTATTCCGTATAAAAAGTAAATTATTTCTTATAAAAAATCAAGAATTTCCTTATTTTGCTGTTAATCTATTTCAACATTAATTATAAAAAATATTTTTTGATTGCATTTCCCATCATAAATTGCTTTAATCATGGACCCTGGTAAAATATCATAGTCCCTTGACTTTTAAAAACAACCTGTAATTTGTTTTTTTTGTTAGACCTAGTGATATTATTCTAAATGTCAAAAGGTTAATTTTTAAGTAAAAGCATGTTTATCTTTTAAGACAAAGTAAAATATTTGTATTTTGTATTAGCATGCTATTATAATTTTTTTAATTAATATACTATAGGGTACTTTAAGTACAAATGATTTTTAATGTAAACAACACTTATATAATAGTTTTACAACTAATAACCTACTAGTACTGGCAATTTTGGCAAAAAAATAATATAGCATTAAATTTACAATTATTTAACAAAATAATTTTTAAAAAGTTAATGAATTAAAGTATATTTATAAGTTAACAATATTCAAACACCAATTTAAAATAAATTAATTTATATAAAATTAATTACTTATTTTAACTAAGAACATTGTAAAATTATATGTTTAAATATTTGAAATCTATAAATATGTGACTAATTATATTAAAAAGCATTACAATAAAAATATAGCATTTCAATTGATATAGCATTCAGACCTCTGAAGTCTACAATTGTTAATAACAATCATAAATAATATTTCAATTGTAAGATAAATCGTGAATTCTTTATATTGTGGACTAAATATGATATCATATTAATTGTCTACACTTTTATACTTTACGATTACAGATAATTACTATACGGTATTTCACTGTCTATTATGATAATAAAGTAGTTCTAAAGTAAATACAGCATGATAATAGAAGTGTGATAATAACTATTACAAATGGTTAATGAAACAAATTAGTGTATTATATTTAATTAATTTGTAATTTTTAATGGAGTAAATTAAATTAAAACTAATACCCAACCCAACCCGTATATAAGATTATTAATTAATATTTATTATTAAACAAATTACAACTTTCACTAAAATTAGCATTTTTAGTCAATTACTAAAATTACAAATACAACACTACTATAATTAAATGTAATTAAGTTTTATTTCTGAGATTCAAATACCTGTGTATAACATATTTGCGATAATACCTGACATGTGGTGTAAAAATGTTATATATTTATGACATTTATATAATTTGCTAGATTTTCTTTTGAAAATTATCGCTTGAAAAAAATTAATATACAATAAAATATATTACACTTTATTATTAAAACATTTACCACTTTTTGTATTTTTATTATTGTTTAATTTAGTGGAAATTTTAGTCAATTAAACAAGCAACTTTTTTCGCTAACTATATGTTTGTCTTTATTTGTATTAATTTAGTTTTAATATATACTTAAATAATGTCGACAATAATAAATACGTTCAATATTTGCAACAAAATACCGGATCAACTAAAACGGGACATAAAACTAGTGCATGTATTTCACGACATTAAAGGCCACAACATATTGTTCATCACCGGTGAGGACCAGGTGTACGGACTGGGCATCAACTACTGGGGCTCTTTAGGGTTGGGCCACAACGTGCCCATCGAGTCACCGGAGCTGATACACGAATTATGTCACCAGAATATCCAAGAATTTGTAATCGGGGTAACATTTGTGTTAGCCTTAAATAATAACAACCAGGTCTATGGTTGGGGTTGTAATGATTGCGGTCAGTTGGCCCGGGAGGCCACTCCACCCAGCGTATACTTAAAGCCCGAACGCATAGCGTTTTTCACCAACAACAAATTTATCACCCAGCTCAGTTGCAGCCATAGCCACTCGCTGGCACTGGCAAGTGATGGCGATGTCTACTCGTGGGGTAATAACCGCAGGGGTCAGGTCGGGTGCGGGGAACCGACGGGTGATCCCGAATGGGACCTCATTTCGACACCCGTTAGAGTAAAGTTTACCAATAATTTTAAGATCAAAATGAAAGCCGTGTACTGCTCGGCCATACACTCGTCGTTTGCCTTAACACTGGATGGGTATGTGTTTAGTTGGGGTAACAATAGTTGCCATCACTTGGGCCACGACTTACAAGACAATGTGGCCAAACCCCAGATCATAACCAATATATTTAATATACAGACGGTGTGTCCGTTCGGGAACCGCACCTATTTTCTCACAAACGAGGGTTTAGTGTATTTTTGCGGTCTCTATGAAAGTCACCGAAAAGTACATTTGATTCAATCGACGCCCAAATTGTCAGATATTAAGTATAATTTCAAAAATTTGGCCCATATTTCCGGTTTTACTGCCAGTTATAATAATGACAGTAATAATACTAATAATAAAGTTAATGATAGTAACAATAATAATGCAAATGCTATGGCATTCATAACTGGTGCAAAACAACGTGATAAAACTGTATATAAAATACTCGAGTCTAACGCCACTATTGAGACAAAATATGATAGTTTTGTCTCGTTTTATGCCAATGAATATCAGTTAACGTATAAAACAATTAAATTGAGTGATTGGCCAGAAGTGATCAAACCTGAAGTAAAAAATTTGGCCAAACCTGTGTCCGACAAAGCCGTAGTCATGGTTGAGGTGTGTGTGGTTGAAAATGAGCCAATTGTACAAGATCAAAATATCAATTGTAATAAAACCGAAATAATTAATAATGAAATTAATTTAATGGATAGTAAGCCAATGCCAAAATCGGTTAGTCCACCAAAACCCGCCACCCGTAGGGTTAAGCCAATAAAAGCTGTACATTTTGTTGGTAAGTTATCTGGATCAAATAAATTAATTTAGTTAACGTGTTAATTTTAATTTGTTTTATTACTAGACACTAAGGCAACAGTGATTGAGTCCAAATCGCCTGTTATTGAAAACAAATCGCCAATTATTGAAAATGTCACAAATGATAGTTATTATCAAAACACGTTTGAAGAGGTGTCGAGCGTAGGGTCGGGCGCTTTTGGCACAGTATATAAAGTGCAGCACCGCTACAATCAGCGCCTCTACGCCATCAAACAAATCGTATTAAACCGTACGTTGTTTTGCATACATTTAATTGAATAGATGAATAAATGTTGTTTATTAAATATACCATCTTAGATTCAAACACCGAGCTAAATGACCAGCTGTTAAACTCGACAATAAACGAGCTAAAACTACGGTCAGAGTATGTAATACAGTACACAACGTCGTGGTTGGAGGATAACCAGCGGCTGTACATACAGATGGAGTACTGTTCCCTATCGCTCAGCGATGTGCTGGCAGTGAAAGGCCCGGTGTTTGGCCGCCAATCCAGCTCTAAACCCATGTCCACAGCCGAGTACTACTTGTCGTGCGGTATATTTGCCGATATCCTGGAGTGTGTCCAGTATTTGCATTCAGTGTGGCCACATGTCATTCACCGTGGACTCAAACCGAGTAATATATTTATCGCGCAAAGCGGCGTTAAAAAGGGTCGTTACCTCAAACTGTCTGACTTTGGTTTGGCCAATGTGTTTAGCGCCGGCACATATATACCCCCATATACGGCGCAAACCGTATCCGATGTTCAATACACGGCACCGGAGTTGGTCGGCCCGGACGGCGCTGTTAATCAACGTATGGCTAATACAAAGTCAGATGTGTATAGTGTGGGTGTTATCGCACAGCAAGTGTTTGATATTAATATTAATGAGTAAGTTTGATTTATATCAAAAACTAATCAACCCCTCCCCCACCGCCCATTCACAGTTTGCTTAAACTTACTTTTTCCTAACACTTAATACTATTTATACTACTATTGAAATGTTTACTCATTTTTATATATTGTATTTTTAGTGCAAAGTCTGTGAAAAAATACCCCTCGACTCACGAATTACGCGAATCAATTGACCAGTTATGCCAAGTGTTAAAAGCTATGACAGCACCGGAAGCTGTGAATAGACCCGAGTGTTCACATGTTCTTAAAGCTCACACAAAGTGGTCCATTGATGCCAAACAGGTTGGTCTAAATGGCTATGATTTTAGTCAAAAGCCAAAAACAATTAATAATAATATTGATTATGAATTTATTCGGAAATATATTTTGCATAAAATTAAGTGATATTCTTATTTGTTTGGATTTATAATTATATTATTATTTAATGAATATTTATTTTACGAAATAATCTCTTTTCTTACTGTTTAAAGAATATATTTTAATTGTTTATTAATGGTATTGCAAATAATATTATAAAAAATTACTTTACTTAAAATTAATGTGAATTTTAACTTGAATAATAATTTTATTACATTAACTCAATATTTATTCAATGATATAGCGATACTTACATATTATTTTAAATAAAAAAATATGATAATCTGTTATGAAAAATATGATAAAAACATAATATGATTATCATAAAATACTAGTTATTATTTTGGAAATAAATTTACTTATGTTAATTAAGTACATCATTACGCATATATTAATTACTATAGTAATTAACAAATGCAACAAGTGCAGATGTCTAATTGTATTATAACTGGTAACCAACAAAAATTCAATTATTTGTTGCACTATAATTGTTATTTAATAATTTAATGTAAAGTGTTCAAGTTAATTACTTAACAGTATGTGAATACGCTATACTTAATTAATTAAGAATAATAAATATCTATCGTGTTAATGAATATTTGACCAAATGACTTTGTAAACAATTAAGTTAAAATGTCAAATAGTTAACTTGTTAAAATGTATCCATTAAAAGATAGTATGTATTTTAAAAATATTGTATTTACCATCGCTGTAACTTTAAATATTTACTTTAATATATTGAATTCTAATTAATAGATATATTTATATTTAATAATTGTATTTATTGATTAAACATTTAAAGTCAATATTTTCTATTAATAAAACAATTAGTTAATTATAGAGTGATTAACTAATTTACCATAATTACTGCAAAAAATATTTATTTTTAGTGACAATTTAAGAAGAGTATCAGTTTTTTGATGTAAATCAATTAATGATACTATCGTACTCACCAAATGTAATTTATTTATACATCAAACCACCGCATTTAATTACTTTCAAGTACATTAATAACATAATATATAAATTATTAAACGTATCTATACTTATATTTTATCAGTGTAAATTTTAATAAGAAACATTTGGATTAGTCTAAATCAAATGTTTACTGTATTTAGTTGATATTTTGTGTAAAAAATGCTTGGTAAAATCTGATTTGTCTAGATATATAAGATCTATTATACTATGAACTACATTAATTACACTTTAATCTTGCATAACAATTTTATTTTGTTTTATAATAATATTTAAGTTTGTGATATTTATATTTACCTGAATGTACATTAATCATCTTGAAAATTATTAACTTCTGGCATAATTTATTGTTTATTAACACGATATAATCGATTCAAGATCAAATAAAAGTTACCAAAATAAAATAATTTAGAATTATTAACGTAAATTATTCATAACAATTATAATCATGAAGAAAGTTATTGCTAAACGTAATAATAAAATATTTATTAAAGAGGCTACAACCAATTACAATGATATTGACCCATTATGCGTGCTACCAAGTCAAATGTGTATCAAATCAGCAGGGTCACACTTATACACTAGAGGCCTAATGCCTAAGACTGACCGAGATAAACAACACGGACATAAACGTCCGTTCATATACCATCCTATTATAATATTCATTGTATTTATGGTAAACTCAGTTCGTAGTGCTTACGCCATATTTATCCCGGAGCACAGACGTGACTTATTTACCCATCTGGCCGACTATTCACACTTTTTGCACGTTCAACAACAATTTAACTTTGGTGTTTTAATGTACTACTGTTTGGCCATTACTACCCAGATAATATATTATTTGTTGTATATTGGTGGCAGAGAACTGTCCTATATGAAATTGTTTTCAATGTTTGCGGGTACGGTTACCCCGGACAGTGTGGGTCTGCACAATCCGGCCCACATCCGCAAGCTCATTCACCGGTACAGAATATGTTCGCGCG